CAAGTAATCTCAATTTACATCTGAGCTAGGAATATGTCAGGTTTTCAGGATATTTCTCTTCCTACTTCCTAAATTGTGCTCTGACGAATCTAGTAGTAAAATTAGTTAAGTATTCAACTAGGCACAAACTGCATGATTAGAGAGGATAGCTGTGAGGACTGGAAGGAAACCAGGCTGATTTAAAATTTATCAAGAGATGATTTAATTCCACGCAATAAGCATTGCCTGCAGTGTGAGGAAACTGGTCATCATTATTCATTAAGACACAACCCACATGCAGTTAGATTAGGGGATGATCATTCAGGGACCTCACTAGTTTTTCCATATAAATTTGACCCCATAGTCCTAGCAGTGCAGACCAACCTATAGATGGCAATTTTACCTTGTGGGTCATTAAAACGAGCCTCTCCTTCTAGCCTTATCCAGCAGACACTGCCTAGCCATGCTACAATCAACCTGAAATGTGCTGCACATTGCATCTTGCTGCCTTAATTAAAGTATACCAATCATCCAATTACACTGCATGATTTCTCAAGCCTCTCTTAAAACAAGCCCCATGAAAGCCAGGAGGAAAAATCCAACTGAAGAAGGAAGCCCCAGGATTTCAATAGGTTCTAACCACAAAGGCTTCAGTTTGCTCCTAGGTGTATAATAAGCAGAAATGAAACAAGATTCTTAATCTCCTGCATGACCTTCAACAGGAAGGAAACACAGCTCAGCTGAAGGAGGTAAACACGAAGCTGCTCACCCAGTTTCATGATATGCTACGTCTGGCCTCTCCAGTTGTTTCTCTTCCTCGAGGCTGACCAAGCTGGATGGCCTCACCTTGACTGCTAGCACATAAATCTTTGCAAGGAAACAGCTCACTTAACTGACTATATCATCTACTAGCAAGGCCATTCTTTACATTTGATAAAGTGACCTACAAAAGGGATCTTTTACTGAATGAGTGCAACCAAATGTCTCCTTACAAATAAAAGCCAAGAGTCCCTGTATAGACTTCTCTTGAGAAATGTAACCAAGACTTTCTGACACAACAACACAAATCACTCAGTACCCGTGATCTCATTTAATCTCAGTTGCCCTACATGGGGACCTTGACATTCAGAGTGAGTAAATAACGTGCTTACAGACAGACCGGAGGTAAACTGCAGAATAAGACAATGTTGTTGAACAATTAGAGAAAACAAGGCCAGATTCCATCCACTTCTTCTCAGAGGACAGTGAGACATGGTTGGGAGCATGGACTCCAGAAGCAGATCAACTTGGGTTTGAATTCTGTGTTTATTGCTTTCTAGCTCCATGGCCTTGACAAAGCTATTGAACCTCCCCTGAGCCCCAGTTTCTTCATCTCTGAGATGGAAAAACTCCCCTCTGTCTTAAAAGGTTGCAGTGAGGATGAGATGCAGTAAGAATGTATGTGCAGTATCTGACGTGACGAGCGTATTCAGTTGATGCTGGCTCTTATTATTTATGGAACAATTGTACTTGGTTTAATCTCCTTTCAGTCTCTTACCGAAGTAGCTTGAGAGCTTTAGGTAAAACAACTTCTAACAGATGGACCTAAGAAGCAACTGGAGATCGTTTGCCATGATGGTGATGAAGCATTAATTAAGTTGGAATTACCACCCAAACTCAACCAGGCAGGAGAGATCCCGGAGGAAATCCAGCCTATTGGTTTCTCAGCAGAGGAAGAGCTCTGCTTATGGTAAGACTAGAGCTGGAGGCACAGGGATGTGGAGGAGTTGAGTGGAGGTGGGGAGCCCTATGGTTTTCACTTTGGTTAAGACTGTGTTCTTTTTTTTTTTTTTTTTTTTTTGAGATGGAGTGTCACTCTTGTTGCCCAGGCTGGAGTGCAGTGGTGCAATCTAGGCTTACTGCAACTGCTGCCTGCCAACTTCAAGCAATTCTCCTGCCTCAGTCTCCCAAATAGCTCATACTACCTGCAGGCACGTGCCCCAATGTTTGGCTAATTTTTTTGGTATTTTTAGTAGAGATGAGGTTTTGCTGAGTTGGCCAGGCTGGTCTTAAACTCCTGACCTCAAGTGATCCGCCTGCCTCGGCCTCCCAAAGTGCTAGGATGACAGTCATGAGCCACCGTGCCCGGCCTAAGACTACATTCTTTGCACTACACCCTTGACCAAGATGAATCTTGAACACAGAGTGCTGCAAGAGACACCATTTCAGTCCACTGGCTTCCAGGGCCAGCCATCTGCCTTATTCAGTTGGGAAGCAGGGATGAAATTAAATTGCTGCAGCATCTCTCCCCCACTCCTAAGAAACCAGTGAAGGATGGCAGACTGGCAGGCTATGGCCATTTAGAGAGCAGACCATTCTGTGTTAATGAGGCAGAAACCAGGCGGACTGCAAAGCTGGAAAAGATGCATCTTTTCTGTGTTCTTGTAGAGGGACCTCGGGGAAAGACAGCATCCTACAGCAAAGTGCATGAAAGGAATCAGTATCTTGTTAGTATGATGACATCTCTATTGGTTCAAAGTTTCCCAAACCAGAAGGGGCATGAAAAACTTTTCAAAGAGTTAGAAGAGTAACCAAAAATAAGAAAAAAGAATTATATGTGAGCCCACTGCCCAAACTTCAGAGCAGCACAATTCACCCACAGCATGGAGATGAAAGGGGTTGGATTGGATCTGAGAGCCATCATGAAAGACATAGGTGGACCAGAAGCAAAGGAAGCATCCAGTCCCATCCAGAGGCACCATGGAGAGGGAAGGGGAGGGAGAAGAGGCTGAGGATGCTCTCTCTCCCAAGGTGATGCTGCCCCAGTGTTTCTTGTCATTGTTCCACATTCTATGTTCTATGTTGACATAGGTGAAAGACACCAAAGAGCCTGAGCGTGAAAGCAAGACTACAAGATACAGCATTCTTTTAGCGAGAAACGCAGAGAAACAGCCCAGAGGTGACCTGTGCTTGCTGCAGCCCATTCGCCAAACAGTTAGCCAGGGACTTCTGTCGTAACCACGCTTGCAGCTCAGCGATGTGTTTCATCACTCGGTAGTGGGGCTGCTGCTGATTCCACCTCTATGGAATGTTGCAGAGTAGAGACATTCTACGGGAAGAATGTTGTCAGAGTGCTGTTCATCTCCACGGGGGCACAGACAGGAGTATAAATAAACCCAGTCTTGGAAAGTGGGGATTGGTTATGGTCTCACCCTCTTTCTCCATCCCTTTATGAGTGAGACCACCGTGGCTCGGGAGCGTTAACCAATTTCTGTAAGGTTTCACAGCCAAGGTCAGAAATAGAGCTAGGACTAGAATCTATACAGATTTAGAGGAACAAAACTCTTCATCGTTAGGAAGTTAAACCCAGGAGTGTGACTGAATGGATGGGAAATGAAAAACAGGACTGATTTCCTTACCATTGTGACAGCTCACAAGAATCTTTCAAAATCCTTCCCAGGCCTAAGAGGCTACAAACCATGAAAACAACAACGAAAGGGAAAAGCCAGGAGTTGGATGGCACATGGGCAGGAGATACCGCAGGACGCGAGACAGGCAGATCATCGAGGAAGACCGCTGGGCTGAAATGTTACCACGGTTTGGCCTCAAGCAGAGAAACGAGAGCTTCCAATATACAAGGCGCCCTTCTGGTTGCTGCTGAGCACACAGAGATGAAGAAGCACCCGCCAGAGGGCAGGGAGAGGAATAATGCCACAGTGTCGGACACAGATCTGACAGAGTCACTGTCATGTACGTTTCCTCATAGTGACCCCCTGAGCTAAGTATTGTTTTCCCTGTTTTACAGAGAGGAACATGAAACTGTGACAGAAAAAGAGTCAGTGTGATGTGTTTGCGCATTCTCTTCCTGTCCCCCTATGGAATTTAGACGGAAATGGGTAAATACATAGAGAAACTAGGATGTGTTCATGAAAACTGATGTTTCAACACATCTAAAGACAGTAACATGGGAAAATGAAAGAAGCTCTCTGGTGTCTGCAGCCTTGCCATCTCCTCACGCACAGGGATGCATCTCCTCGAAAGCGCCCTTGCTCTGCAGCTGAACCAGAGGCCGCCTGACCCTCTCCACCACAGGGAGCGAGGCAGAGCACCACTGTGAGGCTTCCCTGAGGCACAGGTTAGGACACGTGGACATTCTTCTGTAAACAGTGGAGAAGTCACAAAAGGTTTCTGAACAGAAGAATCTGATTGGATATGATGCTTAGAGGGGAGCTGGACTGGGAAGACAAAACTCAGGTTTGAAAAGCTGGTGGGAAGATGTGGAGCAGTCAAGACGAGAGGTAGCAAAGAGAGGTGCTGAAAGTGGAAAGAGAAACAGGGCCCTACCTTCAGACAGCCTGCAGGGTGAATCCACGTAGATGTGGTCGTGTGGTACAGTCCCATTAGGCCAATGCCTGCATTTAGCAAGACTCTCCTAGAGATGATGGCTTCAAGCCAAAGGCCTATTATGGTGGGAAGTGTACCCCAGTAAGTCGCTGGGAAAGAGCATCTTTCTGGGAAGGAAGGCACTGGAGCCTTTCAAATCCTGGCAAAGCGACTCCTGCTTTCCTTAGCTCCCCATCACCAGAGAGCACCTTTCTCAACCACATCAACCAGATGAGAAATGAAAAGACAGGGATATTTTTTTTTGTTGTTCTGTTCCATCATTGGTGTCCTTTTCTCTTCTTCCCCTTGTGCCCACGTTGTAACTCAGAAGCGTTGTTCCACCAGAACCACCTTGCTGGTCCCCTGAAAAGCAGGCAGAATCCTGTCTTGCTCCTGAGAGACTATTAGAAAAGCACTTTGATGGTTACCTTTTGTTAATGTGCAGAATAGATTTTTAAATTGTCAGTTCTATTACCCAGCCCTATCCCTGGGCTTCCTGCAGAGCTGACCCTGTGCTCTGCTTTCTTCATCTATTACAAACATAAAAACTCTGTAAAGATCCATTACCTCCTCCGGCACCCCCCATTAGTATAACCTTAGTTCTAGCTGTCGAGAGACCTTGTTACAGAAAAGAATGCTATAATTCGGCATTAGCTTACCAGAAAACGCTGGTGGGAGTTGAAGTCACAAGTGGGCGGAGAATAAAGTAGAATCAAAATTCACCATGAAGCCATTTTCACCTCCCACTCTCCACTCTAACCAAGACAATAACCCTTGTTTGTGAGGAACAGAAAGATTTGCTCCTGTGTATCTTAGGAAGAACATTGCGATGGTTAGCCCCTGTTATTTGTTTTAAGTGTCAGGATTCTCACTCCTCCCCTGGAAAAGAGCCATATATTTTAGAAATGCTCTGATCGCTTATCCACAATCAGCAGGAAAAAAAATGTATAATTTAGCTCATTTTCAGCAGACGATGTTTGGACTGGATTCCAAAAGCAGATGACGTGGGTAATTGGCAATTCTCTGCCGCTGAGGACCATGACAAATGGTGCAGAAGGGTTCGGCCAGCGCTTCGGCAAGAAGTCCTTTGGAAGCCCTTAGGTGCCTGCCTGCGCCCTGATTGGGAGGATGGGGAAAACAGCTTTTGGAGTAGGCTGGCTGGCTTCAGGCACCTAGCGATTGGATGACAGCAGTTTTAAAGGTAGAGAGCTAACTCTACTAATGTGGCCAAGTCATCTTAATTAAAGCCAGCATCACTTTATTAAAAAGAAATGGCGTTTGAGTTCAGAAATTCACTCTAAGTTGCCACCATGAATTGGAAAGGATGGAGGGCATGGGCTGACGATGCAGCAAAAGGCATGTGGGATTTTCAGTTGCTTTTTTTTTTTTTTTTTTTTCCATTTTTGAGATGGAGTCTCATTCTGTTGCCTAGGACGGAATGCAGTAGCATGATCTCAGCTCACCGCATTCCTGGGCTGAAGCGATTCTCCTACCTCAGACTCCCAAGCAGCTGGGATTACAGGCTACACCACCACACCTGGCTATTTTTCGTATTTTTAGTAGAGATGGGATTTTGCCATGTTGGCCAAGCTGGTCTTGAACTCCTGACCTCAAATGATCCATCTGCCTCCGCCTCACAAAGTGCTGGGATTACAGGCATGAGCCACCACGCCTGGCCTAGCTGCCTTTTCTTAAAGCTAGTCATAGATTAAAGGCCAAGTGGCTAACTGGGGCGAGGGGTGGTGGTCTGCTGAGAACTAGTGACTCTGTGACTTGGCTTAGATACTGCACAAAGCCCCGTGAGCCTTTTACCAGGAGCTGTCCCTCTTTGTTTCCAACCCTTCAGAGTCCCTTATACTCTTCTTCCCCATACCAAGGCATTCATGTCGACCCTTCCACCTCCTGCACACTTAAAAACCTCCAATGTTTTCCCACTGCCTTAGATCAACACCCAAACTTCTAGCCAAGGCCTGCAGGGTTCCCAGCTAGCTCCTGCCCTACCCTCGAAACTCACATCTACCCAGTCCCCTGTGTTCACTCCAGTTCAGCAACTGTGGACTTCTTTCTTTTTTTTTTTTTTTTTTTTGAGACGGAGTCTCGCTTTGTCACCCAGGCTAGAGCACAGTGGCCGGATCTCATCTCACTGCAACCTCTGCCTCCTGCGTTCAAGTGATTCTCCTGCCTCAGCCTCCCGAGTAGCTGGGACTACAGGCGCCCACCACCTCGCCTGGCTAGTTTTTTGTATTTTTTAGTAGAGACGGGGTTTCACTGTGTTAGCCAGGATGATCTCGATCTCCTGACCTCGTGATCCACCCGTCTCGGCCTCCCAAAGTGCTGGGATTACAGGCTTGAGCCACGGCGCCCGGCCAACTGTGGACTTCTTTCTGTGAACACAACGGACTTGCTGCTGCCTGGGACCCTTGCAATTATAGCTCTGACTTCCTGGATGGCTCTTCACTCAGAGCATGGCTGATTCCTTGTTGTAATTCAGCTCAGATGTTACCTGTTCATGAAGCTTTTCTGACCCACCCTGTGTCAGGAGCACTATCCCTTGCTCCTTCTGTAACTTTCTAACCACTACCTTGCTATTTTTCTTTGTCATCCACCTCCAATGTTATTATGTATCTTTATTTGTTTATTATTCTGTTTCTCCACACTAGAATAGAAGCTCCTTGAGAACAGAGACCTTGCATATCTTGGCCACTACTAAATCCCTAACACAGAGAACAAGTACTCAATCAATATTTTTGAATGAATGAATGAATGAATGAATGAATCAGTCAATCTGTTAGGAGAATCACTGTCACAAATAATTGAAAATTCAGAACCAAGTCTTTAAAAATCTTGCAGCAATCAAGCAAGTCCATGTGGTGCCAGTCTAGTTATACTGTAGAGGGAATTCCGCATGCGTTTGGATGGGAGCCACCACTGAAACTCCAGCCAGCCCTGTGCTCCTGGCTGGCACTTGACAGAATTTGTAGGAACTCGCTTTATAGCCAAAATCAGGAGTTCTAGTTTTTGCTCCCCAGAGCCATTGACATGCACTATGGGTATTTTTACCCAGAGATGCATCCTGCAGCCAGCCCATTAATATCTTACATAAACAAGCAGCAAGGAGCATCAGTTGAAAGTCTTTAAAATAATGTCTCAAGCAGTCTGTACACAGGCAGTAATCTCAAAGCCAGAGTGATGCCTCTACTTGGGAAAAGGGGTCTGCCATTAAAAAGAGACTGGAATTGAACCCTCCTTCTGAAGTTCACTTACCTACCCTTTCTTCTTACACAGCGATTGAAATGTTGTCCCAGGCTGCCACACGCACACCCAGGGAACACAAAAATAAGGCAATTTTTCCAGTTACCATGCTCACTGGAGCATATTTTGCTTCATCTTGAGTCATCGGTCTGGAAAGGAAAGTAGAATGAGATGAAACCAAATGGGGCCAAACACATCGACTGAGTTAGGTTCCCTTTAGGGCCGTTCTAAAATAAATAAAGGTCAGTGCTTTATAGAAAGAAGAAAGTATGGACAGGCTGAACTCTCCCCTGTAGAATTTACTTCCCCTAGAAATTGTAGGTAATAACTCTGTGGAGTGAGTTGTGCACAGAGCTTTGAATGTTCCCTTGGTATGAGGACTGTGACACGGGGGATCATTTGGCTGTGTCTGCAGGTCTGAAGCTGGCCATGTGCTGCAAGAGGAAGGCTTTGGGAGGGGAAACCAGGTGACAGCTCCAGGGCTCTGATGGGCTTGGAGCCTCTAGATTCAGGTGACTGCTTTCAGCATGACAGAGGTCTCAGGGCATTTCCATAAAAAGCATTAAAATAGTAGGGTGTAATACATTAAAGCCAATCTTTCTCAAATTTAAGAAACATAAAACATTGACAAAGCCACACCCACTCGGAAGGGCAGCCTTGTCATTTACTCACCCTCACACCACTCAACCAATATTTAAGCACATACCTCATACGAGTCACCATGTTGCATGCTAGGTAATCAATGGTAAGCAAAATAGACAAGTTCCCTGCCTCTTCTAGAGCTTTAGTGCACATGTAAGCCTGTCTTTTTTTTCTTTTTCAGACAGTTTTTTGGGGATATAATTCACACACCACACAACTCACCCACTGAAAGTATACAATTCAAGGCTTTCTGTATTTTCACAGTTGTTCAACCATCACAATAATCAATTCTAGAATACTTTCATTATCCTAAAAGGTAACACAAGGTTTTAAGGAACTAATCACTTAGTTAATGAGTTGCAATCATGATTATTCCTTCTACTTCCCTGAAAGAATAAAGCATGTAACATGAGGGGGCCTTTGGTCTTGGGGTTTCAATAAGGCTCTCAGCAAAGTGACATTTGCACTGAGAGCTGATGGCGGAGCAGGAGAAAGCCAGGCAAAAGGAGTGAAGTGAACAGGAGGAGGCGGCAAAAACACAGGTGTAAATTAGGCTTTTTGGTGGATCTGTGGAACTGAGAAAAGGACATTTAATTTTATTTTAGAACAATGGGTTTTCTATTGTTTTAAGAGTTTTAATTAAGTCTTCCTATCTACTCCCATCTTCCATGTCCAGATTTTCATTTCAAAAAAGTATCTCCTGCTGAGGGTGAGAGAACGGATTGGAGGGAGGCAAGTCTGAAAGCAGGAAAGATCAGTCAGGAGTCCATCACAGAAGTCCAGCAAAGAGATGAGAGTGGCCTGGATCAGGACAGTGGAAATGGGGGCAGTGAGTTCATTCAAGATTTATTAGGAACAGAACTGAAAGACCTTGGTAATTGATTCACTGGGAGGAGTGATGGCTTCTAAATTTGATGCTGTCACTGCTGGGTATATGGGTTATAGAAGGAAAACTGGAAGAAAATTAAGATTTTTGGAGTTGGTAGAGATCATCAGGGTTTGTGACCAAGCAATTAATGGGTTCACTGTCCAATGCACAGAGGCCAATACCATGTACTGGCTTTTGAGAAAAGAAAAGTTTTATTGTGAGTCAACCAGTAAGGAGACAGGAGGAAATGCTCAAATCTGTCTCCCCAAGCTGGAGTTTTGGTTGGGTTTTATAAATGTAGGTTAATGAGGTGTGATCTGATTAGATCTTGCAATGAGGTAATGTTGGGAAGAATGGTCTGACTGGATTCTGCCGTGGGGTGACTCTAGAGCTCGATCTGATTGGATCCTAGATCCTGTCATGTGGTCTCCACTTCTTTAATCCAGAAAACAACTCACAGCTTTGTTACAAAAAGCCGAGCCACATTGATCTGGTGTGGTTACAGGCTCAACATTGGATATATTGACTGAGCTGTCAGGTAGGCAGTTGAATATGACTCTGATATCAGAGGTGAGATCTGGGCTGAAGAAATAAATGTAAGAGTCATTGTTGCACATTAGCCATTGATGACCTGCAAGTAGGTGAGGCCACCCAGGGAGAGATGACAAAGCAGAGAAGGGGCCTCAGGCCAGGCCAAGGGAAGCTCCAACATGTCAATGGTAAATGGAAGAGAATGTGCTGGTAAAGAGGCTGAGGGAGAGCTGCCGTGGAGGAGGAGGTCAACTAGGAGCATGCAATGACCTGGAGCTAAGGGAAGATGGTATTTTAAATGGGGAGAGGCTATTTGTTTAAAAGCTGCTGAGAGATGAAGGCTAAGAGAATGTCCTTTGAACTTGGTGACATGAAAATTATTGGTGCCCCTAGCAAGAGTCATTTCAGTGACAGAGCAGTTGGTGGAAGAATGGAGAAAACATATGCAGAAAACTCTTCTGAGAAATGTGGCTGCACATGGGAGCAGGAAGATTGCCTAGATGGAAGGCCATTTGCAGTGAGGGAGGAAGAGTTATTTTAAGATGGCAGCGATATAAGCAAACTGTAATGCTAATAGAAAGGAGCCACTGAAAAAGCAGGTAAGAGAGATGACTGTTGGGTAAGGTGCTTGAGATGGGAGGGTGGCCCTGAGACCCCAGCACATCCACAGGAACTGGCGTTAGTTGGAAGGGAAACTTGCTTTTGCGTGGTGGGTCCTAGAGCAACAAACCTTGGTTTCACTACAGCCAGCACTGAACCTGGGCCACGCTGGAGGCAGGGATGTTCTCCAGAAGCCTCACTGGACATTATCTGCTATTCACCTACTCGCCATGCCACTGGGGGTGGGATGAAAGATCTTCTCTTTGCCACTCACCAAACACAACTCCCTCGTTCTCTCTTGCATTAAACACATGTTTTGACAACAGGACATCAGAGGCATCCAGGAACCTCATGGATGGAGAATCTATATCTACCTCCTGCCTCCTTGCATAGCTGAGACTTCAGTTTATGCCTCACACATCAAAATACCCTTTCTCGATGCCTCCCGCTCCTCA